GCTTTCTTTTAGCCTTAAGAACAAATGAGTACAGATTTAGCGCAACATGAGATTAGGTTACTGGGTCACTAAATCAAACGGAGTATCTTTCGTTGAAACCGCCTCTGTTAAGGGAATATTCTAGATTGCAAACGCTATCAAAATGCTAGCCCTTATTTCAAAATGTCGCAGATTGTTTGATTTGTTACAATATGACCTTTGAAGGTATCAATCGTAGCAATAACTGGCTTTGGTGAGGACAAATTAAAAGGAAGGAGTGAAGGAATTCCCTGCACGTCAAACTGCTCATTCAAACTATTTCAACTTCAAAAACGGCTTTTCGGTCAAACCGACGATGCTTCACAAGCGTGCTATTCTACTGTTCTTGCATTTGAGCAACAACTTATGCAGAGCAGGTATGCATTCGGCCAGTCTTCTCAAGTCTTTGATGCAGATTTCAGAATGACAGCTTCGGATCACCACATTTCCTCCTGCATCTTTTTTTACTAGGAATGCAGAGCACATGTGCCTAGACACAACTGCTACCAATTGTTTCAAGTGTAAACCAAGATCAATAATTTTCAAAAACTCCAAGAACCCGCACAGCTTGACAAAACTACCCATAGAAGAAAAATGAGATAATTGCATTACAATATAGATGACTCAATGCTTACTGTGTATTACTTAGCACCTGCTAAATGCACTATGACTTGTGCAAAAGCATTCTAGGCTTATTAATGGACAGTCGTTGATGGTTGATAACCTTACGAATCAACTGAAAATCCTTCTAGCTTTGTTCTGCTCTTGTCAGGTGCTTATATTTTCTCTTTCTCTGTAAAGCGTAAAGTATCATTTTATAAACTCTCCCCTTATCAGTTATTATTTTTTAAAAATTTTATCTTCTGTTAAGGACTGTCGGGCGCAAATTTCGAAAATTTTTCATCTGCTTTCATCACTTCAAATATCACTCATAACAGTTAATTATTCAACGAGCATTGTACGTTTACTATGCCATTAATAAACTGAATGAAAAACACTTACAGGAGAAAATTAAAACACGAATAAAATTGACAGATTTTACCTATTTTCATTTTGTTCCCATGATAA